TTTGACCAGTTTCATTCTGGATCTCTAAAGTGGCCTAGATATTTTCTTGCTTCCTGACAGAGCAGGTTTACGCACTTGAACTGGCCTCCGTGACTCCCGGCACATTCGAGCAGGTGCAGCTGTCTGCGACGCTGAGGCCCTTAGCGTGGAGCCCCGGGGAGCGCGCCCCCACCCAGGCCCTGGCTGCGCCTTTGGGGCCCGGCTCTGGCGCTTTCTGAAGGTCGCTGTGGGAGAATGTCCAGCGCCGAGCTCTTCTAAGCTGCTCCGCTCCTTGCCTGTCCAGCGGGGGCCTGTCTGCGGCCTAGCTCACGTGGGCCCCTGGTCTCAGGCCCCAGACGTGGGCCCAGCCGCACGCTGGCTCTCCTGCCTCCAGATACTGGGGCTTCTCTGCCTCCATCTCCATGACCTCGCACCTGGGACCCGAACCCGTCCATCTCCCACTGGCTCCGTTTCTCTGGACAACCCCAGGCCACCCCTCCCTGGCTCTGGCACGGCACACTCGCCCCACGGCCCTGCAGTGAGTGACAGGCTGACCACGACCCGGTGGGCTCTGGCCCCAAGTTTGCTTTGTATCATTGAGTGTTGGGTTGTAAGGACCTACTTTGACGACCTCGTGTAACCCAGCGAAATGGGGTGTGACAGTGACTTACACTTTCGTTGTAATTGAGTTAATATAAGTTATTATGCGCTTAAGCAGAAACCAATATTTTACTTTCTTCTTGATTGGGGACCAATACGTGCCACCTGCATTTTCCTAAATTTTAAAGCAGCTCTGTAACGGTCCCCCACCCCCCCACGGGGCTTCCTCTCGGCCTCAGCAGAGTTCTCAAATTTTTTCCCCCAGCATGAGTCCCTTTGAGCCTTCCCCCTCCCCCTGTTCCCCTCACCTCAGAAGCCTCCGGGTGACCAGTAATGTTTGTGACTTTCTAATCACGCTGCTCATCAGAACTTGTATGTCCAGTTCTCCATCCGAGGGCCTGTGTCGCTCCCACATCCTAGTTATAAATCAAGATGCAATAACTTTGTGGGGTGTCATTTTTTGAGTCAAGCCTTTCATCGCCTCCTAACAAGCACCCCAAAGTGGAGTTGCTGGATCATACGGTGTTTACATTTTCATTTTTTAAAGATAGTTTCCGGTTTCATCCATGTGAATTAAATGTTTCCTGGGCATCCGATAAATAGGAGCCACTCAAATGTTGGATGAGGGCAGGTAGTCAAGTGTAAAGGAAACAGCACTGTGAAGACCTGGTATTTTGGATTCAGAGTTCCTTTCTGACTCCGTTTAAAGACAGCCAGAGCAGTGCTTCAAGCATGCGCTTTAGGAGAGAAAGCTCGCCGAGACCCCTGAGTGCAGACCGACGCTGGGGCGCAGGGGAGACCCCCGAGCGCAGATCACGCTGGGGCGCAGGGGAAACCCCTGAGCGCAGACCGATGCTGGGGCACAGGGCTCTGCCCAGGGTCTCGTGAGCAACCCACAGGCGACCCCGGGAGCCTGCCGAAAGCCTCTTCGGTTGGAGTGTCGGACAGGACCAGGAGCGGGCAGGGCCGCCCAGGAGCGAGCGAGCCCAGCACGTGGGGCCTCAGGAGTGACCGTGAGGAGAGATCCGCGAGGGGCCTCGTGGGCCCGTTTCGACCTTGTCAGGTAGCCGCCTCTGCCTATGGAGGGGCTGCTCCGGGCTTAGGGCTTGCCCCATGTCCCTTCTGGTGTGCAGAGGTGGCCTCTACCCAGAAGCCAGCAAACGGTTCAACGGTGACTACTCTAAGGGTTGCAGGTCGGAGTCTCGGTAGCGATGCCTCAGATGGCTGCAGCACCCCAAAGGCGCCATAGTGGGGCAGGAGGGCAGTGGACGTCCAGGGGGCGATAGAGCCGCAGGGGGCTATGGCGCCTTCCTGTTACTCGGCATCTTCTGGCCTCGGCGTGGGGCGTGTGCCGAGCGCTGCATGTGAACGGGCGAGTAATACAGAGATCAAATGGCCATTCCAGCTGCCAGGTGTGCCCCTTCCAAGGAGGGGTGGCAGCATAATAAAACAGGAACCCCAAGGAAAACCGGCAGCTGGGAGCCTGGGTTTGGCTAAGGCGTGACGGCTGAGCGTGTCTTAACGGGGTGAGAAGTTGAAAAAACCTGTGTGCGAATTTCCACTGTCTTTTTCTCGGGGGAGGGAGCTGATGTTTTCTTGAGATTTGAAAGGCAGCAGGACCTGAGCAAAACACTGCTCTAGGGAACTGGTCCTCCCCGGGCGCTATGCTTAATTTAAAGAATGCTATCTTTATTTTTTTTTAAATATTTATTTATTCCTACAGAACTGGGGTACAAGCCAGAAATGCAAAGGCAATGAGAGGAGTCACCACGGACAGAGCGGGGAGCAGAACAGGCAGATCGACAAAGTCCACTGCTGAGGGGAGCAGCGGGCGGGTCACGAGAGGTCTGCTGTGCCCTGTGGTCACCTCCGGGGCAGGTGGGGATCGAACTCATGTTGAAGTGGCTTTAGCTTCTTAGTGCTGTGCTTTAACCTGCTGCGCCACCAGGGAGGGCCCTATTTTTAATCATTTATTGTACAAAGTCCCTATTTTAAATGACGGTTGATTCCCAGGCCTGGCAGAGGATGGAGCGGGCCTAGTCATCGCCTCTTAAATAGCCTTACGCAACACCAAAAGCAGGAGGCGGACGCTGGCCGTGCGGCGACCCTACAGCCCATCAATCTGCCCTTCTCCCCATCTTGCTTTTCCAGGACCCCTCTCTGCAGCTGGCGTTCACCACACGATCCGGCGCCCCCTTTTCTTGCAGAGTAGTGCTCCCAGGCATGGGTACCGTCACCCCAGAAGGACCTTTTGCTTACCTCCAGAGTTTGACTATAGCCAGTAAAACTGCCGTGAAAAACTGTGTAGGCTCGTTGTGGACAAACATTTTCGCCGCTCTGGGAAAATGCCCGGCAGTGCAGCTGAGTCACCTGGGCGCCTTCAGGAGTCCTGGCGCCTGCTCTGAAGGCCCCTGGAGGGTGAGTGAAGCTGCTCGGGCTTTTGCGCCCTGGCCTCAGTGGCCATCACCTGCGGCCTTGCACGCGGGAGGCTGGGGAGCGTGGGTGCAGGCGCCGTGCCTGACGGCGGGCACCTGGGTGAGGGGTGGGCGGCGTGAGGGCGCACCTGGGCCCGAGGCCGAGCACGTGAGAGGCGGACAGCAGCCACGAGGGGAGAGCCGGAGGCACAGACTCGCGGGCCGAGCCGCTGTCTCCCGCTGCCCGTTTCCCCTGCGCCTGGTAGGAGACCTGTGGGGCGATATCATGGTGCCAGGGTTCTCGCTGAGCCGGGGACCAGCCACCCGGCCGGATGGTGCAGAACGGGAAACCAGAGCGAGGCTGACCCGAGACCCGGGAGATGGCCACCTCCGGAGGGTGGGGTGTTCCGGAGAGGCCCAGAGGGCCTAGAGCAGCAGCTGCCCGGGCCGACAAAGGCCAGAGCGCCAGCAGGGGCCCAGGCCAGGCGTCTCGGAAGGAGCAGGGACCAACCTGCGGGGAGCTGGCGGCCCGGGGCCCTGCGCCGTCAGAGGGCTGGGTAAGTCACGGGGGTCAGTCACGGGGTGGGGGTCAGTCACGGGCAGCGTGGGGAGAGGAGGCAGCTGGTAACTAGTCACCGTCACTGTGAGCTCGGCTGTCCCCAGCAGCCACACGTCCAGGGCTGCGGGCTGCGACTGGTTTAGTAAAGGGACAGCGAGGGAGGAGGCTTTATAGGGCTGAGGGGACAGGTGAGGAGTGACAGCAGCGTCTTTCACCTCAGAAGGTAGTAGGTGACGTTTAAAACCAGGAGTCAGGAAATGTCAATGTAAAGCAAGTTGTTTAGCTACAGCAAGATGAATCTCGGGGGCCGAATGGCTAAAGGACTTGAAATGACCGAGGAGGCGGGTGGGGACACAGGCAGGCAGGCAGGAGCTTCTGCTCTGCATCACAGACCCTGGATTTGGCTTTTGGACGTCAGCTGGTGAAGCAGCGATGATCCTTTAAACCTACCAACTTGGACACAGCTGAATTTAGACAAACTGAAACATGGATGCTTAATGATTTCAGCTTCCGCAGCCCTCAGGAGCTGTGGCGAGCACACATGTGCTCCCCAGGCCACGCTTGGGGGACCCACAGCGTGACCAGGCTGTGTCCGATCTTTTAGGTTTCCTTAAGTCTGACCCAGACAGTGATCAGTGCGCTAAGCAATGTCTTCCTGGAGGACGCAGGCGGGCAAGCGAGAGTTTCTGGCATAAATGCTCGGCTTGCTATTTGTTTCGATGTTTATTTCTCTAAGAAGACTTTGGCTGTCTGCTCCCAAATTTACTTATCTTAGGGCTATTCTCTCCTGTTCCTCGCCTACAATTCTCCTGTATGTTTGTTTGGATGTCACCATAGAAAAAGGAATAAAATGAAGATTACAAAGCTGAGAAGAAAAATCCCAGCAGCCCATGTCCACTGCCTAAGGGTGCTGTGCAGACAGCGGCCGGGGGGCTGGGAGCTGGGCTGCGGGCTGCGGGCTGGGGGC